GTGATACTTATTAATCTCTTTGATAATATATCAACATGTGTTATTTCTATTCTTTTTCAAAATAGTTCTTAAAATAAATATTTTTCTATCTTAAAATTAAGATTAAAGACCAAAATTAGTAAAATTTTGAAAGAGTTGAAGTTGAAAAAAAATATTTTATCAAAATAAAAATTTGCATGTTTTAAATAGACCGAAAATAATAATTTTAAAGTTTAGAGAAATAAAAAAAAAATTAAAGACTAAAAATATATTTAATTCAAAATAAAGTTTAAACCTTTAACTTTAACCACAATTATATTAATATACGAAAGTAATAATATTCCTCGAAAGGAAACCAAAGTTATATATATATATATATATATATATATAATATATATTATGTTTACAACTATTAAAAAAATGTGTACTAAAATTAATACTAATAATATTATTATATTTATATATTATTATTTTGCATAATATTTTAAAATAATATAATTATTTAACTATTTATGTTATATATTAACATGGTTGAGGCACTTTGCATGAATTTTATTTAAATAAAAGTAAAATTAAAAAAAAGTGAATTTGGATTTCTGCAATTACAAAAAAATCTTTAAAAATAAAAAAAAAACGCAAGTAGTTTTAAATTTGAGATTTTCAGAAGAAAAAATGAAAATATAAAAAAAAATAGTGAAACTACTAAATTATTTGCTTTTATGAAGAGCATGTAAAAGTTGAAACAATCAATTTAAAAAAAAAAAAAAAACAATGATGCAGAAAGATAATGTATATCTGCAAAAAAGTGATTCATGCAATTATTCATTTCAAAGAAACAAGATCAAAAAAGAAGCAAAAAGACAATAGCTTATCCAAAAAGAAATGTTAAACAAAAATATATAATTACAAATTTGAAATTATATGACTCGTAAAAATATTGAGACAACTTCATGTAATTATATTAAAAAAAAGTGGATATCAAAACAGACTTCTTTATTAATATAATAAATTATAAATATATATTATAATTTTAATTTATGTATCAAAAAATATATATTTACTATTACTAAATAAACAAAAGTTTATAAATAATATCAGTATTTTTTTTATAGATATTATGATAGTTTAATAAATATAAATTAGTATATATATATATACTTTTACAAAATTATATAACTATATTAGACATGATATAGATATATATAAGAATGTTAATTAGAATTATTAATTTTAGTAATTAAAATATACAAATTTAGTATGCAATGCCTATATCATATAGTTTAAATCAAATTTTTTCTTTTTCCTAAAAAAATCATTTTTTCCTAATATATTTATATTTACATTTATTAAAATATTAATTTATAAATTAATATATTAATAATTATTTCTTATTATTAGTATTAATTTATAAATGATATATCAATACAAATGATGTATAACATATAACTTTTTATTTAAAAGTAGTAAATATAAGAACAATTTTGATTCTTATCCAAAGTATATATACTATAAATTTCATGTATATATTCAAGAAACTTAATAATTCGTTGTTAATGAGGATTCCCCCATCCTATTTTTAAACATTTTTAAAATTTCTTCTTTTATATTTTTATATTTCAGATCATCACTCATCACATTAATTAATACATTAGTATTTGAGTGATAAATGTTCATTACAACAAAATTGACTTATATTGGTATTTAATATGATTTTTAGTGGTAATAAAAATTGTTTCAAAATCTTTTATTAGCATTTTTATATTAGTTATTGTATGCAGTATCACTAAAATATTTACTGGTATTTATTTTACATGCTGGTAAAGACCCTTATAATGGTTGGAAAAAGTGTATACATTTTTGTGACATTTTTTTTTATTAATATTTAATATTTTTTGTTATTGTCACTAAAAGTTTAATAAATGATTCATAATATTCTTTAATTACTTTATTTCTAGTCGATGTGAGACTTATAAGATGAGAGTAACCCTCTACTTATATATTATTTAATTTTCTTATTTTTCTAATTGTCTTATCTCCGAATTAATTATTTTATTAATTAATAGTCGATGTGTGATTTAGGTTTTTCTCAATATATGCTCTCAAGTTTAGTACTATTGAGTTTGGTAATGGTGAGTAATCTAATATCAACTTAGAATAGTAAATTATAAGTCTAACTCAACCCTACAAAACAAACTTGTAAGGTGAGAGTTATCATCCACTTATACACTCTTTAATTATCTTATCATTAGTCGGTGTGTAACTTAAGTTTTTCCCAATAAATAACTGTCGCTAATAAGAAATTTTGGTATAATATAAATACATTTTTAGTGGCTATTATATATCAATCATTAATATTTTTATTAGACAATAAAATAGAAATAATTAATTTATTATCATTAAATAATTATCAGTAATAATAAATTTTGTTGTAGTGATTACTTCAATAAATTTCTAAATTTTTAACAAAAATTGACGAAGAGACCAACTTCACATAATTGTAATATTTAATAGACAAATTTTTTTATTAAGCTTATTATAAATTTATCAATTTTTTATTTTTATATAAAAAATTAAATATGGACAATATATTTATTATAAATAAAAAATTTCTCACTATTATTAATTATAACACAAGGAATATGTAAAGATAATTTTGTTAAAAGCCAAAACACACTTTAATAATCTCTACAGTTTAAAAGAAATTAGTCTATTATATATTATAAATTGCGAAATTGTTGTAAATTAATTTTTTTTTTTATAAAACTGATTAACCATATATATTTTAAAATCATAAACTATATTAATATAATATAGCATATTAATGGAAAATAATGAATGATTCTTCCAAGTCCATTTTACCAAGTTGCTAATCCTATCCACATAAGCAAATGAATAAAAAAAGCAACTGGAATTTTATTTTTTCATTTTTTTGAAAATATTTATGTCATTATAATCAATGTGTGAACTGTATATGCCAAATCACAAAATTACTTGCCACATATTTATAATTTTTTCTTGTCAATTAAATTTGAATTCTAGTTCACTGATCCATAATGTTATTCTTCACATGATATAGAATAAACATATTTTTTGTAGTTCAAAAGATATGTAACTTCCAAACAATTCTGTTTGATGTCGGATAAGGCAACATGAACACTTCTCTCCTAAAAGAATTGGATATATCAACACGAGATGATAATTGGAAGTACATAATTAAAGTCAATCTAGTTTGGATGGTCTTAGATGAATGGGCCTCTTGCTTAACCAATTCTGTATTCAACTTGCTAATTTTTAGGTTTATGATATATACACCTCCATTCCATGATAGATACATTTTTTTTTAATTTTATTGCTTTTTAATTTTATTTAATATATATATATATATATATATATATATATATATTTTAGATATCTAATTTTTAATTTTTAATTTTTAATTTTTTACATATATCTTTCTCTTTCTTTGTTTAACTCATGATATATATATATATATTAAGTACACCTCTTTTTTTTTAATAAAAATAAATTCTTGAAATATCATCAACGTAAAAAAAAAAGGAGAAAGTTATAAATTAAATAATAAAAGAGTAAAATTTTAAAAAATACAGGATAAAAAATTAAAAATATTTTAAAAACTAAAAAGAAAGAGATGTACTTAATAAAAAGGTGGTGTATATATCATCAACCAATTTTTATTAGTTTGGGCTTCGAAGCTTTATGTGGGCTTGAATGTTTTCTATTGAGACTAATAAATGTAAAAGAACTAGATTTGTCATTTTCGTGAACCATTTCCTTAAATCTTTTCCATTGTGCACATTTCCCATTTTCATAAACAATTTCCATTTTTTTTAAAAATAAAAACAATCATTGCATTTCCTTTAAAATAGTTTCAACAATATAAGGGTAAATGAAGTCAAAGATATGGTGGCTAGCAAAGGATCTTAACGCTTTTGCTAGAATGTGAACGATAAAATTGGCTTGCCTCTTAATATATAATTAACCAAGTAACTACTAGAGTTAGCCTAGTAATTGGGTGGGGAGGACTTTGGTTAGTTAGAAGTATTAGGACCTAGATTTAATCCTCATTGCGATCATCTTTTTAGTCTTTCCTATCTTTTTTAAAAAAAAAACTAAGTATTTTAAGTTTGAGTTTACATTTAGAGGTGATAATAACTCTAAATTTTGTTTGGCATGAAGTATTTTCCATGATATAGTAGTATGTAGATCTAACAGAATACATTCCATTTCTACTGAAGTTCCATATTTTCTTATTTGCATCAGTGTAGTTTGGGAGGGGTATAGTTTCAATATTTTGGATATTCCATTGGCAAAAGAGAGAATGAAGTAGGTCTGGCCACCATGAACCTATAGTGTGATCAATCAATTCTTGGACTTTCATATTTTCTGAACTAAGACAAGGAACACTTGTGATGAATGGATTATCCTTAACCACCACCTATGAAGCAAGAAAGCTACGCCACACAAAACTTGGATTTGTAACAACTAGGCTCCCAAGAAATCCTCATTAGGATAGTATAAGTTTCCAAAACCATTTCCTTAAACCATGCAAAATCCCTTCTTTTTTCATAATGCCCTTTTCGACAAACATAAAGGACGTAATCCAAGCCCTTGCATTGAATCTCATAATATATATTTAAGAGAATGTTTTGTTAAACGTTTTCCAAAAGTAGTTAATTAATTATATTTGTCGATTTCAATTAGCTTGTGGACTGAGACACTACAAAAAATTAATTAATTTGTAGCGGTTTTTTTCTGGCGGTTTCAATAAACTGCCAAAACGTGTTGTATTTCTAGCGGTTATTATAACCGCCACAAAATATTTGAATTTTCGGCGGTTTGAAACCGCCACAATGTTTAAAATCGTTGCCAGCTCTTCATGCAACCACGTGGCCAATTCAATTAAAATATTTTTTATTATTGTTAAAAGAATAAAAATAAAAATGTTAAGTTAAATTCAAAATATCAAAGGCACGTTTGAACTTCTTCTTCATCTTTTTCGCTCAAAATTTTACATGCTATTGCCATGAGCGTGAGCATTCAATTCATATAGACGTTACATAGATTCGTTGACGGAGAGAGGCAGACTCAACGGTTTCAGTTCGAAAAGTTGTGCGTTCGAGCTTGGGCATATTCGGAGGCAACGTTGTGATTATTACTTCGATTCGCTCGTCGATTGCGATAATCTAGCATTCAAATGATGAATCTACAGGTATTTTGTGTTGGAAACTTTGATTCTGTTAAGGCTATTGATGATTTGCTAATTACAAGGACAAATGGTTTGGGGCTTAGGGTTTGGAACCATATTTTGATATTCTGTTAAGGCTATTGATGATTCTGTTAAGACATAGTTTTAATTTTACTTTTAGCTCAGCCATTGTCAATTGGAGATTAAAGATGGATCAGTGTTTTGGAAAGATACACAATTATATATATATAAGCCATATCATGTGTATGATATATCAGTATACTATATTGGATGAAATGGAAATTAAATAATGATGCGCAAGTGCCATATATAGAATAGCCTATGAAATCCCAACCGTAGTTCATTTTTTAATCTCTTTTTGACATCTTATTTATCACATTGCTGACTTTATTTTATCTTTCACAGGGACTTCACAAACCCAAATCTCCCTACAGAGCAGAAAGGCAGGCCTTCACAAGTATGTTATGTTGGTTCTTTATTTATCTATTAATGAATCAAATATTTATGAAGTCCATTCTAATATATATACTTTTCCTTTCGTCTATTGTTAAGTAGCCTGGATATGGTGATGGAGGAAACATGTGTGCTGCTCAAGGTTCTGGAGCCAGGACAGGTGATAACTATTTTAAACTGCTTTGGTTGGTCTGGTTTGTTTGTCATATTTTGTCATTTGTTAATGTACTGATGTTATTTTCCTCTTTCTAACTGGATTTCCGCAGGTGGGTATTTTTCACATCAAGTTGAAGTCCCAATTAGATATTATATTCTTGTATAGTTAAATATAAGAAGTTATCATCATTTTTTAATGTACTGATGTTTGTCCCGTTTTCTTCTTTTGAAAGCTGGCTTTCGCTTTAAAGTTGGTTTTGCTTTTCAAATTGGGGTTTAATTGGGAGAGGGGAGGAGCTTGTGTGTTGGGTTTTGGCTTCTTGAACTATGAGATCTCTTTCCACTTTGAGATAAATGACATGATAATATGAACATATAATTTTATCTTTTAATTTTTAGTAATATGACAACAGAAATGCATGAAATGGAGATGCTTTCTTTCTTTTTAAAAAAATAAAACAACTTATTTATTATTATTATTATTTCAATTATAGACGGGAAATTCTGCAGCCATTGCAGCTGCCTTTGGGGGAGGTTTGCCTTCTGGAATAATTGGGACAAATGACAGGTGTACAATTCTTGTATCAAATCTGAATCCTGACGTAAGCATTTTGTCAGGCTTCTTCTAGAAAGTTCTCTCCAATTCTCAGCTCATTTAGCTTGAAATTTGCTTATTTAAGATAATTGACGAGGATAAACTATTCAACTTGTTCTCTATTTATGGGAATATTGTGAGAATTAAACTTCTGCGAAATAAACCAGATCATGCACTTGTTCAGATGGGAGATGGTTTTCAAGCTGAATTAGCTGTACACTTTCTGAAGGTGTGTTTCATATCTATATCTTGCTGTTTGTATATTATGATACTACAATTTTTGTGTGATGATATCTTTACTCAAGCAATAAGTTTTTGTTGTTCCAGGTTATGTATCTTTCTGACATTCCTTCATGGAGAAGCAAGCATGGTGGAAAAGTTCTTGTGAATATTGATAGCTTTGGTGCTGCTGGAGATGGAGAATCTGCCACCTTTAATGGCGAAGCTAAACACATTCAGAGACATGTACAAGGAGGATGAGATTAGGGGGATCTTGGGTGAATTAGGGACTGACATTACCAATGAAATTGATTTTGAAGCCTTCTTAAAGGTTAGTAGTTTGGCATCTTTGACTCTTTCTTTTTCAATGTTATTAGATTAGATAACTTTTCCATGTTGTGAAGTTATAATAAAGGATGTTACGTTGAAATTAGTTGTAGAAATGAAACAGATCATGTGCTATATAATATTAAATATAATGTATGTTACTTAATGTAGGTAACCTTCCAATTAATTATATTTTTCATGCAGGCATATTTGAATTTGCGAACCCAAGCTACAACATAACAAGGTGGTAGGAGGCACTCTTCATCATTCCTCAAGGATTCCATAACCACCCTTCTTTACACAATCAGTGAATCAGAAAAAGCCTGCTATGTTGCCCATATAAACAACTGCCTTGGTGATGATCCATTTTTGAAGCATTATTTTCCATTGGACCCAGCTACAAATGATATTTTTGATCTTGCAAAAGATGGCATTCTTCTGTGGTATATATATATAAGCAGGGTATGCTGATTTTTTGCACTTTAATTGTTTGTATGAGCCTTTAATATATATTGGATTTGATATATGTCGTGTTGATTGCAGTAAGCATATCAATGTTGTCGTGCCTGGGACTATAGATGAGCGAGCCATCAATGCCAAACGAAAACTTAGTCTTTGGGAGGTAAATGAGAACCATACACTATGCCTCAATTCTGCCAAGGCTAACATTTGGCACACAGGACTTGGTTGAAGCAAGAGTAAGTTTAGCAATCTGAACTCCACAAATTGCTCTACCGACATTTACCTAGGTTCCATGGCCCTTTTGTTAAAATTAGCTTAAAGGGTCGATTTTGGCACGAGTATTCCATGGTTCTTGCCAGAGTCGGTAATTATCTCAAACAGAGGATTCCTGTAAGTCTCTTTCTGCTTCTTTTCTTTTTCTATAAGCCAAAAATATCCACTTATAATTATAATTTTTTTTAATTCACGCTGTATCCCATAGCTTACAGGCAACACTAAGAATTTTTAATGCTTTGGTTTCAGGAGATTTTGGAGGTTGAGATAGAAGACGAGAAACAATTGGATGACAGTCAGAGAATTTTTAAGGTACCGTGCACGGCTTGCTGCCCTTTGGTCTTTTGTTTTAGGTGGTCGTTGACTATCCGATTCTCTAGATAACATAATTTTAGTGTGAATCAGAAACTGTTGAGAAATAATGATTATGGGAATATCTGTGTAGTTGTACTATCCTTGTTACATGTCATGGTTACTTACACACGAAACTTTCTCATATAATTCTCCTCCGTATCACCCATTTCTCTTTGGTCTTTGGGATACTACCTTGTTGGTGTCATTGATCAGACTCACCAAACAACACTAACTCTTATAGGGAAAATTACGACTGGAATTATTCGTATCTCCATCATTTGCAAGAGTATTGTGGTTTTCCCTTTTGTCCAATTTGAGATTTCAGTGATGAAGAATAAGGTGATTTGGTAGATAAACAGGGAAATAATATTGCTAAGAATTTGTTTTTCATTGTTTTTAGTAACATCATGTGATTTATATAGTGGAACATTTGTTGCCTCATTTACCTGCAATAAATGATTTATATGTGCGTGTACCATTTCAGTATTCTCATTTATTTGTGGCGGTCTAAAACCGCCAGAAATGTTGAGTCAAGCAAATTTTAGATTGATTTTGTGGCAGTTTAAAACCGCCAGAAACTGTCAATCAAGTAACATAAAAATGCATTTTGTAGCGTTTTAAAACCGCCACAAAGTAATTGAATTTTCTGGCTCCCAAAACCAGCGTTTACAAAATCTACGCCACAAACCGTTTTTGGCGACTGTGGACCCGGCGGTTATTAATGACGCTGGTAATGCCATTTGTGGCGGGTTTTAACCGCCCCAAATTGGCAAAATAACCGCCACAAATCACACATTTTTTTGTAGTGAGAGCATATGTCACGTGAAAAAAGTTTTCACTTGACTCCTCTTCATTTATATATAGAATATATAACAATATTTTCTAGTGGTAAAAAAAGAAGTTCAAAACAGATTATTGAAAAATAAGAACACAAAACTGCAAAGAAATGAATGCTCACTTTTAGAGGATTATGTTCAAAGCATAAACCATCACCCAAGGAAAGGTAAAAATGAAGAAAAGTAACAAAACATGTACTAAGGTTAATAACCATGCATGTCTTGTTGGATTAGGGGTACTGAATTAATCAAAATTAAAAATTTAGAATTTTTTTAAAATTAATTGGATTCAAAGAATTTTTAAATCCAAACATAGAAACGAATCCTTTCTTTAATATATATTTTCAATTAACATATAAATAGAAAAATAAATAAATAGATAGATAGATATGAAGAAAAAGAGAAATATTGCCTTTTTATAAAGGAAATAAAGTTGACTCAAACAAAATTACTTCCCATGAAAAATACATGTAATTTATACTAAAAACTAAGATGTGACAATGTAATTTTATATTCAATGCATTCAAATCAACATTGTAAATCAAAATAATTAGTACTTGTAAAATCACACTCAATATGAAAATAATCAAACTAATTTTGGTTATTTTTTGTAACTGTTTATGAGTTGGAGTACTCCTTATATTCCCTTTTAATATATTTTATTTTTCCTAGAAAAAAAATGAAAAAGATATTCAATTAAAGTAATAAATAAATGATTTTGATATAACTAGTAAATTTAAATTAAATTTTATCAGTTTTATAATAAATAGTTATCACTTTTCATCAAATATAAATTTATTAATGTGCATAATATCACATTCCAATATTAAATTAGAAATTTTTTCATATAAATTTATTAGGGAAACTTAATTGTGTACCAAGAACCAGATATAGTATTAAAGTAAAAAAGAACAAATATAAAAATTATTATGCATCATTTTAATTTGCTTTTATCTTTATTTAATAAAAAAAAACATTACTTTAATCCTTATTAAAATAATTTTTGTAAAAGTTTTCTTATTTTTTCACACAAATCCTTCAATTGTTATTTGGATCATTTCATACAACAGGCAAAACATCTCTCTCCAAAAAAAATTTACAAAAATTATTTAAAACACAATTCAACGTCTTAGAGGTTGGTGAGAATTTGCCTCATAATTTGACAAGGCATGAATAAAGATATATTTAAAGAGAGAGAAAAAAAATTCATTTAAAAGTACCTTTGGTACACAACAAATTTTTTCATGTCTAAAAATGATGATTTCTAGAAATCATGATTCCTAGTATATATGAAAATTTGTTTTATTGATCACAAATATTTCTAAGAATGTTTTTAAACCTTACTTGAAAATAAATAATTTTTACTGCATTAAATAAACAAATAAAGGTAATATGACATTTTTATCATATTAAGATTTTATTTTTATCTCAAAAAAGTTAATTTTTAATCTCGTTTGTGGAAATATTTTTGTGGAAAACTAAAAACTATTCTCAAAAAACAATGTTTTTTTTAGGAATTTTATTTTTTAAACAATAAACTAAACATGAGAAATTAACATTCTCGATGTCAAATTCCAAAAAAGTAAAAACTTTTTGTGTACCAACATTTTCTAACTGTATTAAAATTAGGCTAAAAACCTAATTTGGTCCCTTATAATAATTTTTTATTTCAATTTAGTCTCACTTTTATTTTTTGTTTCAATTTGGTCCCAAACTAATTAATTGGTTTCAATTTAGTCCCTAATAAATTAATTGGTTTCAATGTGGTCCTTCCGTCAAAATTTCTTTAACGTCGTTAAATATTGAGGACGTGGACGTCAGTTGGTGCTGACGTGGATTGATAATAGGCAGGCGGATGCCAACGTGGATTGGGACGTGGATACGTTTTTATTTTGCTTCTTGTTTATGTTTTTGTGGATGGGTAGTTGTTCATTATTCTCATTTAAGGTTTCTTTGTCCGCCCCCAGTTCTTCTTCTTTTGTTATTTTTCTTCTTGTTGTTGTTGTTCTTGTTCTTCTTCTTCTTGTTGATAAATTAGTTTTTGTTGTCCCCATGTTGTCATTTGTAGGATTTGAAGTTAGGGTTTATTGTTGAAGAATGCAAACGTCCCGGATGTCTGCGAATTCATGCCCAATGAACCACGAATTCAAGTGGGTTTGAAAGTCATGGTAGTAGGTATTTTGTTCCCTATTGCTATTGCGGAGAGGTTGTTGTGTTGCGAACAGCAATGACATCTGCCAATGCTGGTAAAAGATTCTGGGGTTGTCCAAATTACAAGGTATGTAATGTAAATTAATTAAATTAATTTAGCCCTAATTGCTGATTTTGTGGTTTTGTTTATTTGGTTTTAAAAATTTGTAGTTTGGTGATGCTGAACAACAAGGATGCAACTTTTTCAAGTGGTCTTTAGAGGAATATGTGGATGAAAGGGATTTGTTGGTAGCTAGGCAGAGGAGAAAGATGAACAATCTCCAGAGTTCTTTGAAGTCAATAAGATGGTGGATGAAGTTGTTGATAATTGTTGTAATTTTTTTGTTGTTGTTGAATTTGGTTTTAATGTATGTAATTTGTAACAACTTGGTTCAATTTGGAAGGGTGTTTTATTTGAAGTAGTGAAATATGGTGTTTTGTATTTAAAGACACCTTTTGGGATATTGTTGATGGTTATTTTTGTAATGTTGGTTTAATTGCAATGGAATTATCAAGAATTAGTAATGATGGTATTGTAGCATTGCCTGAAGTTTAAATTTAATGGTTTGTTTTTAAGATTAAAACCATCAGTGCAGCAAGTATGAATGTCAAAGCATACCAAAATTCATAAACATACATATATTAAGGTCTAAGATTTTAAAGACTTTAATACATATGGTATGAAATTTGAAGGAGTTAAATATATATGCTAAGAAAGTTCAAAGACTAAACAAGAGAAAATGATAACATAAATTGGATTTAGGATTTATAGGATTTAGGTCACTGATGTCGTGTCAATCACGGGTGTGATTGTGAATCACGACCGTGATTCTCACGGGTCTAGTAGGTTGAAGTTAACATGTTTTTATTGTGACTTATAACAGAGGGAATCACGAGCGTGATTGTGAATCACGGTCGTGATTCTCACGGGTCTGGCGGGTTGAAGTTAACATGTTTGCTCCAGCGCCAGTTTCCATGGCCTTAGCGCCAAGTCTCTGGAGATCTCCCTTGAGCTCAAAAATTCCACAGCTGTAGCGTCTCCTCCACAGCTATGGCGCTAAGTTTCTGCCTAAGATCAGTTTGCATATTAAATCTCCAGCTCAAGCGCCAAATTTGCAGCCTTAACGCCAACCCTCTGGAACCATTTTTGGTTTTAAACTCATCCACCGCTGCAGCGGTGGTGCTGGAGCTTGAGCGGTGGGGCGTGGAGTAAGTTTAAACAAAAAGGAGAGGAACAATTTTGAGGTCACATTTTTCTTACATCAAAACCCTCTCTTGGTACATGGATTACAAGAAAAAGCTCTCATCTTTCTCTTCTATTTCCTTGTTGCATGAAGATGGTTGTGAGATCTTAATCTCTTTGAACCTTTCTCATAATCTTTCATCATTTATGAACTTTTTGATTGATTTGGAAGTACACCAATGTGGAATTGCATGAGTTTGGGTGTTTGATTCTTCAATATTGCACATGCATGATCCTTCTCATTTTCTGCCTATTTTGTATTTGAAGAATTTCCTGAATGAGAAAAGTACTTGATTTGAACACAATGAAAGCTTGGAAAAAAGGTGATCACTGAAATGTTTCATTTTGTGAAGAAATGTAAACCTTGCATGGTAAGAATTCACATGCAGTTGTTTTTCTTTCTCATGTACACCACGTGTTTGGTTAAATGCTTGAGTGAATTTGTGTTCTTTAATTCAAGTGTAAAATCATTGTGGTTGGTTAATCATGGGATCTAGTAGGAAATATTTGCTTGTTCATTGGTGGCTTTGTAATAACTTTAGTGCTTCACATGTTAGAATGTTGATTGATCATTCCTTATGCCCCATGAAGAATTGTGATTTATTTGTATGATCAATCTGTGGATTAACTTGGTTGCCAGAATTGGTTGTCAAATTTTTAGATAGTTTGTTCAAAAGGTGGCAATTCAAACGGAAGTTCTAAAGCCACTCATAAAATCCCCGATGCACCATCCCCACCATCACCATCTGAACTGGCCTGGGGACAGTCCTATATTTTCTGGAGGGGGTGGAGATCAAGGTGAACAACTTCATGGTGGGGAGCAGGAGCATGAGCAGGCAATGATAAAGAAAAAGATGATGGAGGGTCATTGTCACCCTCGTTTTGAGGAAGAGAAGTTCCACTTTAATTTTATGCCATTTTAAATTCCAGTCATTTTAAATTCTAGTTATTTTAGGTTCTGTTTTGTTAATTGTTTGAACTATGTGGTAGTTTATATACTTTTTGTGGAAAAAAAAAATGTTTTGGGAAAAATTGAAAATCATTCTTGAAAGGTAGGAAATGAGGTGGCTTTTAGATCAACAAATAGTGAAAACACATCTTTTGATTCACCTTAAAATGGTTTGTTTTGAGACTTGTTTTGAGGTTGCACTCATCCAACTTTGTTTGATCATGAAATTGTGAGTTATTTGATTAGCATGGCATGAAAGATCAATAAATGAACATTTAGCCAAGCTGGTGAGTGAGAGTGACTAAACAATGCATATGTCATATATATTTCCACTTTTGAGAGCCATCATCATAGCATATGTGTTTGCATTGGTTGAATCTTGAATGATTGTTCTTGTGAGAAAGTTTTGGACAGGATCAAGGCATTCCATTATAAATAACTGAAATCTTTTTAAGCCTAGAACCAAACAGCCAGCCAGAATTGAATCTATTCTTCAAAACCTGTTTGAGCTTTAACCTTCAAATCACCTTAAACCTTTCCCAAATGCCAACTCATCACCCTATATCATAGGAATCCATCCGTGTATTTCTTATTTATGTTTGATCGTGTTTTAATTACAAGTATTTTTTTTTTTTCAAATAAAATACATTCAAATAAATCTTTGTTATTCAATATTCATGGGAATTAAAAGAGCCCGACTAGGTACTGGCGGGGCTCTTTGACTGTAGAAAAAAAAAAAAAAAAAAATCAAAACAAATCAAGAGCCAAATAAGCAAGCACCTGTACAAAAAGTCTTAAAAGAGAGAGAGACCTCTTGAAATCTAGGCAAAGAACTTTAAGGAAAGAGGGTGTGTAATTAGAGGAAGATTTTGGGCTGAGAGATTTGGTTGGAGTTGAATATTTAGAGTGAGCAAAGTGGAGTGTTTGGTTCATGTTCATTTTACTCTCTTGAGTTTAAACCCTGTTAATCTGAAAAACCACATTCCTTTGTTAACCAAGCCTCAGTCAACCCTCAACTTTCCAAAAAAGTCCTTGTGATCCTTAATTTCTCTCAAAGAGTAGTACTGAAGAGATGATATCAATGCTTATGTTCATAGAAATGATGAATGGACTTGAGAGAAACACTCACCCTGGAGAGCCATTGTTGAGAGAGTATGTTCAGATATTGGTTTGTAATGTTCAAAATTAGGTTAGTGAGAATTGGATTCATAATGTGAAAAAGCATGAATAAAAATACATTTAAAGGAATTAAAATTAATTTGGACATCAAATCAAGTTGGATTATTTATTTGAAGGCCCAAAAAGACTAGGACAATAGGTCATGACAGGTGTAAAAATTATATCTAAAAGATATCAAACTTATTTGATTGATTTTTTTAATATTTTCTTTTAAATACATATAGAAATATTAAAATATAAAGTGACCTAATACTAAATCAAAGAAAACATGACTTACATAAAAACCACATCATATCGAGTTGGGTTGATTTGTTTTGTCAATTCTAAATACATCCAAGTTAAGTTAAACTTTTTTTTTTTTCATCCTTTAGACAAACTTCCCCTTAAGAAATTTTAAGAGAAAAATGAATTTTTTTATAAGTTAAAATTTGATTATACATAAATTAAAAATATATTTTAAAGAAGATAATATGAGTTCAATAAATTAATTAGCTTATGAATAAATTAAATTTAATATTTGGAGAAAGTTATTTCATTCTTTTCTTCTTAATTTCTTCTCGTATAAGTGTTCATGAATAAATTAGTTTAAATAGGCCATTAATTAATTCAATCTTTACATAGTGTTCGGTAAGAAAGAAAAAAAAAAGGAAAGAAATTCTTATAAATTTTTTTTGTTTGATTCAATTTTCGGAAAAAGAGGAGAACAAAATATCTCATTCTAATTTTAATTCGCCTTCAACATTAGTGAATTTGGAGGAGAGTGAAGAAAAAAGGTTTAAAATATTTTTAATATAATATTTGAAATATCTTTACTTGTACTTTTAAATTTAAAATTATAAAAATAGATTAATTTTTTAAGTCTCACCTAATTGTCAATAAGAAAAGAAATTTCCCTCTCCATTAAAATCCATTTTTTCCTCTCTTTTTGACGAAACAGAAAATTTAACCTTTTCTCTTTAGTCTATAATAAATTCTTTTAATTAAGTTTTTTTTTCATTTACATTACTTGACTAAAAGATTATTTAAAAAGATAAAGTCCAATTATTGGTACTATTTCTGACAATTAATATTTATTAAATCATATTAATTAATTATTTTTATATTTTACATTATAAATTATTATTTATTATTTACTCAATTAAAGATTCATTTTAAAGTTTAATATGTTTTTAAACTAAAAAAAAAAAGGTGAAAGAAATACCTTGGTTGCATCGTGGTGGATCGTCCATCTCTTGGGGTTTATACTTCATAGTTTACTTACTCTCATGATACTTCTTAACGAATTGGCCTGTACAACCAAATCATCGTCTTCCTCGTAACTCCTAAACCAAACCTTGGATCACTCTCGATCAACTCAATCAATTAATTCATTTTCATGGACGCATACGTTTCTCCGATCACCCAAGATTTATCTGAACCCGACATTTATTTATACACTCCCAGTGGGAAGCGCATCCCAGTGCACGCATCCATTTTGGTACTGTCCCTTTTTTGTTTCTTCAAAATTCGAAATTTTCATCTAGTTAACTAATTTCCAAATTCTAATCTCATAATTTCATAATTAGGCTTAACTAATTTTGTATTTCATTGGGTGGGAAGGCTTCGGCATCCCCAGTTCTAGGAAACGTGATAACGTGGAAGGGAGCCGTTAAAATCCAGGGCGTCCCAGACGGCGCCGTGACGGCGTTCGTAGAGTTTCTGTACTCGTCCAGGTTCGTTGTGGTTGTGGGTAGTTATTAATTAGTTAGTTAGTGAGTGAGTTAGTTGGGGAAATGGGGATTGATAGGGTGCGTGCAGGTGCAGGTGCAGGTGCAGGGAGGAGGAGGAGATGGAGATGGAGATGGAGAAGTACGGAATGCACCTTCTAGCGTTGTCGCACGTGTATTTGGTGAGGGTTTTGAAGCAGAGGTGCGTGGAAGGACTGGGGAAGCGCGTGAGCACGGAGAACGTGGTGGACGTGTTGGAACTGGCGAGGCTCTGCGACGCACCCGATCTTTACCTCAAGTGCGCCAAGCTTCTCGCGAGTCATTTCAAATCCGTGAGGGAAACAGAGGGGTGGAAGTTTCTCCAAACCCACGACCCGTGGCTGGAACTCGAGATTCTCCGCTTCATGGACGAACACGAAAAGGTACCAAGTTTACATTAACATTAACAACATCAATCATCCATCATATATAGTTAATTGTCTTAAATCTTAATTAGTGTTATGAACACTATACAGAGGAAGAGGAAATCGAGGAAGCGGAGGGAGGAGGAGAGGGTGTACGCGGAGCTGAGCGAGGCGATGGAGTGTTTGGAGCACATTTGCACGGAGGGGTGCACGCACGTGCGGCCGTGCGATGTGGAGGGTGGGCGAGGGAGAGGACCGTGTAAGAAGTTCGGCACGTGCGAGGGTGTTCAGGTGCTGATTCGGCACTTTGGAACGTGCCAGAGGAGGGTGAAGGGAGGGTGTTTGCGGTGTAAGCGCATGTGGCAGCTCTTTAGACTCCACTCTTCTATTTGCCTATGCCAACATTCATGCAAGGTTCCTCTTTGCAGGTCCTTCTTTCTCTACATTTTTATTTATCATTTTTCATATTTATTATTATATTTTCTCTTTGTGATTTTTTTTTTTTCCCTCTCTGTGTCCTAATTTTTAGAGTGCCTTCAGTTTTTACCAAACATAACAACTTTACGAAAACCAGATGCGAAGGTGTTGTTCTACTTCTACACTTGTTCTAATCACATGCCAATTCATATCCATATTCAAAATCAAAATAAATCTGCTTAGTTCTGAATATTTTATTCTTCCTGTATGTGGTTCATTTTATTTTGGTAACTAGAAGTTCTTAGTTGTGCCTGAGTCACAGATATAATAAGTCAGTCATATAGCCTGAGTTGGGCGTATTTGAAAAACCCTTTTTTTAACAAAAACACATACTTTCCAAAACACCAAGTAATTATTTCTATCACATTTGTAAAATTTTAACAATAAAACAAACACACACATGTTTTGGTCTCTACAAGACCTTTAATTTTAGATTATATATACTTGAGGGTGTTTCGTTTTGGTATGTTAAAACTTTATTTTATTATTTTATTTTATTCGGGTATCGTATATTTCCTGAAAATTATATTTCTTAGAAGATAGATATGTTTGCCAAAAATACCATAAATATATTTTGTATTTTTAAAATATTCTTGAAAATAAAAGACATGATTATAAAAGAAAAGACTTTCCTCTTTCATGAGAATCTTGGATTCCCATCATCTCCCATTCCCCCATACGAAAATTTTAGTAAATAAATTAAAAAATGTTTGTTGAGAGAGTTAGATTCTTCATAATAATTTTAAAATTGTTATACCAAACACAACAATTTAAGATTCCTTATAAACTTAGAAGAATCCCCCTACAAAATACCTTCTTAATTATTAGAGATTGTGGTTAGCAAAGGAAATTTAGTCTTTTTTTTCTCATATGATAAACCAAGTTGAAAATTTTGCTTATTATTTATTCATGGGAGTTTTGATACATATAAAGTTTTTATTTTTCAATAAATCTGAAGTTAAAAAATGTTAGTTTTTAAATGTTTAATTTATTATTTAAAAAGTAACATTATTTATGAAAAATGATATTTGCATAATTGTTGTTATTGGGGGGATGAATATAATATTTTTAAATTAAATGGAAAAATTTATTGCTATAAAAATGTCACTTAACTTTTATTTATTTATTTAATACAGTTTAGTAAAACTATTTTATTACCAAATAACATATATAAATATTCTTAAATATATTTATAAATACATAGTTTTTTAAATTATTTCTGAGAATCATAATTCTTAATTCCTATAATTTTTTATTTTCAAGAATTGCAATTTCTGAACATAAAAAAAAAAATCCTTTTACCGGACGCCCACTTTGTGTCTTCTTGTTGTAGGAGTATTATAATAAAGAGAAACTATATTTGTATGTGAATTTTATTAAAAAAATTTAGTATATAAGAAAATCAAAAAAATAAATAGAAAAGAGAAAAAGGTGCAAACTAAGATAAGTGATGTGAGATGGAGGGACAAGGGAAAAAGTAATATTATAAAAGTAGTTTAAATTATGGTATAAATAATATAACTATTATGAAATGAATTTGACATTAAGCTTTTGGTATTTTGAATAATTTTCTTTTGTGAATGCATTAAAAAAAATTTATAAGTCAAAATTAATTTATGTCTACAAGTTAAAATAAGTTTTTGAAAAATTAAATGAGAAAATTTTTACAAATTAACTTTTAATTAATAAACTAATTTGAGAGACAAATTAAATTTCTTCTTTTTATTTTTTTAAATTCTATAAATGATTTTTATTGAAAAATTAATCTCTGTATCAATGTTAATTTCCGCATTCTCTGTGGGTTGCTTCTTACGTTCCTTACTCCTATTATAGTTCGATTACGTTCCTTACTCCTATTATAGTTCGATCGTCCCTCATATATTCTGCGACAAATGTCAATCAAGGGACCGTTTATTGTCTTATACGTTATCTCCACAACTACAATAGGAGGTTTAATAACTATGATCGAGGTTGTTGTCTTATGGCTTTTGTGTTCTTTGCACAAATCAAAGCAAAGCACCGACGCAATTCATAACAACATGGTATATAGTAGTAGTTATTATGGGCCGGGAACATGCCAAACATGCGTGCATCAGTGACTGTGAGAGGTCCCCTCCTCAATAGCCACAACAAAAGATTATTATAAACCTTGGTTAATTATATGATAATGTACATCATGCATCTTTCAATTGTCATTAAAAAAGAAGCAATAATAGAACAAACAAGTAGGTCTTTGTCGATCACCTGCGCTAGTGGGACAAGTTGAGAACTAAACCACTAGCTAGTATTACTATTTACTCTGCAAATTAATTAATAATCTCGTTCTTATCTTCCACATCATGTTTTCTAAGTTGTAACATTCAATCCAAATTATCTAATTTAACTAGCATTCTATGGTGAATCTAATTTGCTATGTTGTCACTGTCTTGGTTTCTTTTAATCTTATGATTATCTTGCCTTACCTAGTCTATAGTATTATTTATTAATTTAGCGGTGTAGGTTAACCTTGGTGTTTGAACTGCAGGCAAATTCGAATGAAAAAGGAGGAAGAGAACAGAAAAGATGACGCAAGGTGGAAAGTACTAGTGAGGAAAGTGGCCTTGGCTAAAGCCATGTCTTCCTTGGCACTGCCAAAGAGGAAGAGGGATGAGGAAACTAGACCTGAGTAACCTTAAAATAATAATCCTGATTCCTGTGATATAGTACTGTATCATAAGTTTCATATATGTTCACATACAGGGCTATGTATAGTGCCATGCTTTATCGTTTTTGATATATTGATTATATCTTATAGAGAGAAGTTTTATGTAATGTAGAACTATAAATCAACAAGGTTTTGGATAGTGTGAGTGTGATCCTGCTGTGCATGGCTGTTTAGAGGATTGCTAGGTTCCCTAGGTATAAAATCACAAAATAATTGAGAAATGGCAAAATGTGGTGTTAGCCTGTGATTAGTATTTTTTTCCCTCATGAGTTATAAGGCAATACTCATGATTGAGATAATCTCAAACATATTCTGTTTGTTTTAATGGCAGGAAAATAAAAGTAAGGATGTTTAATAAAAAAAAATAGAATGATGGTTTGTTTTACTAAGTATTTTTTCTCTTGTTTTTATTATTTTTATTTTAATTAAATAAAAGGAAATGCATATTGATTATCTGTTTGTCTTTAATTAATCAAGCATATGGACCAATTTATTTATACTTGTTTCTAAAAAAAATTAATAAAATAAACATTAACATTAAAAAAAGTAATTTATGCATTTGTTTAAATTAGTTATTTTAAAATAAGTAATCTTTTGTTTTCTTTAACATCAACTCATATCAGCTTCTTAAAAAAAAATTCAAAAACACTTTTTTATAATTATTATTTTTTACTTTAAACAAAATGACTCAATATAAATGAATAGAAAAAAAAACTAGTAACATACTATATTAATATATACTCATTTTAACACTCTTTTATATGTGAGTGAGATGTATTAAATAATTAAAGAGTGAAACCCACACAATTTATAATAAAAAAAATAGTGAAATCTACAAAATTTTTACGATTTTCAACAAATTTTAATTAATAGTAAATATTCTGAAAGCATGCTACTAATATTTATTTAATTGTGCATAGTTTTTTTAACCAGCTAGGATTTGAACTAATTTTTGTCACTTTACATTATTACTCTTTCACACACACATATCTTTAATCTTAAAGCGTAACAAATATAAAGTTGAACTAATAAATTCTTATTTATTATCACATTATCTCATTTAAAAAAAAAATTACGGAATAGTTAATGGGGAAACCAACCGGTGTTTATGTATGTGGGTCAAGATTATTATTATGGTGTTAAAGTAATGAAATGATATTTTTAATAATTTTTTTATAGAATGTAAATTTAAATAATTTGACTATTATATGTAGGAATGTTAAAAAAATTCATACTTATTGATATTTGTAGATAAAATCTACAACGATAAAAAATGAATATTGTAAATGAGTATCCATAATTAATAGGTATAGATATTTTTAATATTCGGATGTTAATGGGAAGGGTACGGGTATCATAGTATTCATACCTGTTAATATTTAATTTATTTAGACTTGTATAAATTTTATTTTATTTGAACTTGTATGAACTTGATTATTGAATTTTGTTTGGACTTATAATAATTAAGTACTCTATCTTATTATCTTTATTTCGATTTATGTGTAATCAAAATATTTTATTTTAACAATTATTATTTAAACTTTAAACTATTATGATTGAACGCTTAAAATTTACTTTATAAATTCACTTATTGTTATTAGTATAATTGTAAAAAATACTTGAATTTTAATTTTATTATCTTCAAACTTTTTATGCAGATTTTATTTAGTTATAATCTTCAAATTATTTTTCTTTACAAATTTTTATAACTTTTAAAAGAAAAAAAAGGTTATAAATAACTAAAATGTATAGTTAAAATATTTTTAATTTTTTTAAGTAAATATCTATTGGTACCCATGGATATCCGTGAATATTAAAAAAAATATGGGTATCTACTTAACAAATACTTGCACAAATATGGAAACAGGTAAGGGAAAATATTTATCAATGGAGAGGGTAGCAATGAACTATTACCCTAAATCCTAAGCGAGGAACTATTACTTGTACCTGCCTCGTCCTGTCGACATCCTTAGTTGTATGTGATAATATTACTAATAAGATTAAATACAAAAAGTTACATACAATTCTAATGTTATTTAGGAGTTCATAAAATCAATTTATTTTAATGTGTAAAATTATATTATATATATATATATATATTATTAGATAACATATTTAGAAAAATTCAAATCATTTAAAATTTGATATGTATAATCATAAGTGTAATATGATTATGATTAGATCAGTTGAATTTATATTTTATAAAAAAAATATATATTGAAGGTATCATTTTATTAATTTGACATCATAATGTCATCAAATATGAAGAAATACAAGTTTATTTTATTTTTCACTTATTTGTTAGTTTGAATTAATAAAAAATAGAGTATCAAATAGTTCTTAATTTTTTTTTTAAAAATTGTAAGTTTGATATATATACATTAAGAACTTTTAATTCAATGATTCGATCGTTGACATTTGTAGTATAATATGAGTATTGAGTAGAATAAATCTAGGTAGATTTACTCTTAGAGTAAGTGAAATCCTCCATATATATATATATATATATATATATA